CATCGTCCCTCCATCTCGGAGCTGATGGAACACGTGACCGTGCATAGGGCGGGTGAGAACAGGGGGAAGCAGCCTGTGACGCCCTGGGGGCCCCTTGCCTGCTCCTGCACGGCGGCCCTGGGTCGGAGACCGGGCCGGGACCTCCTTCTCATGGCTGTGTGCGCCCCAGCCCTGGAGAAGCTGAGCGGGTCCCCGCGAACTCGGACCAAATATGCAGACCAAAGAGTGCTGTCCCCATCTTCAGAGAGAAGCGTGGCTGTGTCTGCAGGCATCGGTGCCGACAGAGTTCCCGTGTTTCCTTCCAACAGAAGAGTTACCTGGGATTCTGGAGCCAGGGCGGTCACCATGGCTTTATCTCATCTCCGTGGACAATTTTCATGCCGGTTCCTGTGGACGCTGATACTTCACAAATGTCCTCCTGGTTCTTTTCACATAGGCAGTGTTCCCTCAGGGGTCTTAGTCACTTCAGAAACAGGGAAGAGAAGGTCTCATAGTCAGGTCCACAGCAGCAGCGTCTTTAAACAAACTCTCCTTTCTGATATCTTTGGGCCACAGGCCATGGCGACCGGGAATGCCGTGCGTCTCGTTTTGGAAAGAGACAACTCAGTTCCGTAACCACGTGCACAGTGTATCACCTTGCATTTTCATTGTGCTGGGTCACTGCTTTGATTCCGAGGCTGACAAACTGCTGACAAGTCTGTTCCACTCTTACCTGCCGTTGGCAGGACACGCGATGTTGGACTGCCTTTGTGTCACTAGCCTGCTAATGTTTAACTGCCCAGCACTTCTCTGCCCTGGGAAGTGGGCGGTCTGGACAGGCTGGTTCTTTAACCCTCAGGCAGTGGACGTCTCTGTTCTGCTCAGCCACTCCAAGCACTTGTTTCACCCTCCAGAGGGGGACACGGTAGGAGGACGAGACTCCAGCAGCTGCTGGAAGGCAGTGCAGGGAGGCTGAACTCCGGAGCGGGGAGAAGTTCAGAGAGCTGAGCGGCAGGGTCCTGGGCTCCGTGTCAGCTCTGCTTGTGAGGCCCAGGCGGGTCCCCTGTGCTGCAGACCCCCCTCCTCTGTAACAGCAAAGGCCTGCACCGATTACCTCCTAGGCCCTTCCTGTAAGCAGCAGAGCAAAGCGAAACTTCATTTCTAAAAGTTTGAAGCCATTTTTAGTAGGATATGTTTCCAGTCTTCCTGGAGAAGACGTGGGTTGTCCCCCAATGGAGGGAAAGGATTCTCCTCTTCGGCCCTCTTCACCTGAGCTCCTGGGGGTTCTCGGGCTTCCCGACCTCAGAATCCCACCCAGGGACATCAGGTCCCTTCCCACAGCCTCTGCAAGCTTGGTCCACAAAGCAGGCTCGGAAGGATGCACAGTTGCCCCAGTTAGAAGGAGCTGAGAAAAGCCTGAGCCAGGCATTTGCCGGTCCCGTTGGCGCAGGGACAGAAGACGCTGGCTGTTTTCTGGGTGACTCTGTCACAGGATTGGCGGGAGGGCAGCAAACCTGTTCTGACCAGAATGCTGCCTGGAATTGCCAAGGCAGGAGCCCCTAGGCATGGGAGATACTGTCTCTCAGTGAGTCCCACCGCTTCCTTCCCCACTGGAAAAGAGGGTCGTTTCTCTGAGCCTTGCACTGAAGTGTTCGCTTATAGTTACAGCCTGTGTTGGCACTGACACCGCCCGGCTTCCTGCCTCGGACACAGAGACAACACTATTGCACTGGTGTTGGCACGGAGGGCTTTCTTGTGGGTGGACAGACCAGGAGTCAGAAGTCAGGAACGGAGCTGCTGCCCCATAGGATGGGTGGGCGGGGATGCATTTGAGGGACTGGGGGGAGCAGGAGAGGGCTGAGGGCTGTCAGGGGGAGGCACAGTGGCATAGTCTGTGTCACCCAACTGGGCCATGTGGAAGCTGTGGACTCGTTGTCGTCGGAGTCTCCGGTCTCTAAACTACTCAGTCTCTCTTGCAATTGTGAACCACACGCCAGCTCCAAATCCGAGTCTCGGCCATGGGTCCTGCCTCTTACTGAGTTCTGGTTTCCTTCTCTCAAGGTCTGTGGTGGCTTCCTGAAAAACAGCCTCACATGAGGTTTTAGGAATGAACGAGTTCTGGTTTTATTGCTGGTTTCTGTGGGAAACTCCACATTGAGTGTGTGATAAACTCTGATGGAAGCTGTTACCTGCTACTTTTACCATTTCCCCTCATTATGCATCAAGGGAACCACAAGGTGCTAGAAAGGTGTGAAGGGAGAATCAAGGGGCCCCTGCTCAGGCCGGCAGGCACACAGCAAAGCCTTACAGAGAAGCCCTTTCTTCCATGCCCCGCAGCCTGCAGACTTTCAGGCACTCGGTAACACGGGGGTTGATGGTCGCTGTGTGGGCACAGATCGGTGAATTTCCTTTTAAATCCAAGGTGTCGGTCGGTGAGCACAGAATCCAGGGCTGGACCCTGAAACCAGAGGCACCATCAACCTGATCCGCAGGATTTTTAACTCCCTGGGTCCCATCTCTGTGCCCAGGAGGGGGCCCCGAGAAGGGCAGGTGGTGGTGAGGAAACCACACCAGCCTGGGAACTGGGAAGGTCTGGTTCTGACACAGGTGGGGTAGGTCCAGGTACCCTCAAGATGGTGCCCACAGTGGCTAGTATCAAGGTAGCAATTGTGGATGCTGGGCTGTTCTTAGATCTGAAGAACAGCTCAGTGCAGTGCGCACTATTTATGATGAAGAGCCCTTTAGAGATCGAGTGCCCAGACTGTCAGCCCAGCCCACTGAATTATAGCAAAGCGCCAGCACTGCCCCTGTGTGCTCTGTTACCCGGTGCTCAGCTGCTGGGGTGATGCTGGGCCGGCCTGGCTCGGGTGTGACAGAGTGGTCTCGCTCCTGTTGCAGTGGGTATTACCCAAAAGAGGAAAGATACTGAGCACTAGCAAGCATATGGAAAAATGGAACACTGTGCGCTCTGGGTGTGGATGTTTGTTAGCATGGCTTTTTGTTGTTGTGCTGTTTTGAGACAGGGTCTTGCTATGTACTTTAAGGGGGCCTTGAACTCACAGTGTAGCTCAGGCTGGCCTTGAACTCAAGATGATCCTCCTGCTTCAGCCTCCCGAGTGCTGGGATTATAACTCTTGCCCAGCTGGCACAGGCATTTGGACAAAGTACAAAGAGTCCCCAGAAGCTAAAAATGGACTTGCCCATGACTCAGCTGCCTCACTCCTGCCCTGTGCACAGAGGAGCTGAGATGGGGTTGTGTAAGTGGGGTCTGTGGCACTGTCCACCCTAGCAGGGCAGGGAAGTAGCCGAGAGTCCCTCAGAGGACGGGGACGAGGCTGCGAGGTGTACGCGGAGTGCCTGCAGCCCTGCTCTAGAAGGGACCCCAGGCGAGGGGAGGGGCTCACCGACCGGGGTGCTCACACCTGGGGGGTGGGGACTGGCGGGAAGGAGATTGTCTTCGAGGACAAGGCGGCTCTGTGGCGCTCTCCCCTGGAATGTCGGGCCCTGACCTGGTCCCCGGGAGAACAGGAGGTTCCCGGGACCTCTGAGCTGCGCCCCGTGGACAAGGCAGGGCTAAGCGGAGGCAGGGCCGAGGCCTCTGTGCCCGCTGCTCAGGCCCTGCTGGGCCCAGGTACCAGGAGACTGGCGCGAGTCCTGGTGCCTCCAGGCTGTGCTGTCTTGGTGGCGGGAGCTCCTGCTCAGCAAATGGCCCGTTTCTTCCTCTACATTTTATCTCACCGGAAACATTAGAAATTTATTGTTATTTTTAAGGAGCATTGGCTTCACATGGTAGAAGGTTTTGAGTAACCTTTCGAGAGCACACTTGCCCTCCCGTGCCCAAACTTGGTCAAGAGTGTGTTGGGTAAGGCACTGCTGTCTTGGTGGCGGGAGCTCCTGCTCAGCAAATGGCCCGTTTCTTCCTCTACATTTTATCTCACCGGAAACATTAGAAATTTATTGTTATTTTTAAGGAGCATTGGCTTCACATGGTAGAAGGTTTTGAGTAACCTTTCGAGAGCACACTTGCCCTCCCGTGCCCAAACTTGGTCAAGAGTGTGTTGGGTAAGGCACTTATGGAGCACAGTCACTGAGAGATGTG